GGAAATACGGAGACGTGGACTATTACATTACGCAGTTCCTTTCCCGGCATGGAGTCTTCATGGACTTCTTGCACAGAATAAAGAAAATACCAAATGGCAACTGCATGTACTGCGACGAAATCGACGATGCCGAGCATACGTTGTTCTGCTGTCCAAGATGGGAAAACGGAAGGTCTGCCTTATTGTCGGATGTAGGAATGTTAACTTCGGACACCTTGATTATGAAAATGACCAAAACTAGCCAAATATGGGGAAAGGTAGGGGCATTTATGAAAGAAATAATAATAGAGAAAGGAAAAGATGAAAAGGCAAGAAATGCGGAAGTGTCCTAAAAATAAATAGGATAGAATATAGATAAAAAAAATAACAAATGCGGAAGTGTCCTAAAAATAAATAGGATAGAATATAGATAAAAAAAATAACATAGATAAAATAACGCATGTACCCGAAGTAATGCCATGCGGCGGTTCCGGGTAAAGGGAGAGGAGGAGCTGACTCCTCGGAGGTGGACTTTTTTAGTGGGTAACAATTCGACTCCCACACTGTTTGGGGTTCGTCTCTATGATCGTCTCTCTCGAGATGGTGATGGGAACGAACACCACTCACCTATAAAAGGTTTTTTTACCACCGCCTCAAAAAAAAACTACCGGGTGCGTCTCAAAAGTGGCTCACCTCTATAACTTTTTTATTTTTTCAGTCAAAATAACGAGATTTGGTATGTTAGTATACGACGTAAATTAGGAATAATTGACGTATTCAGTTGTTTTTGGTCACTCATCATTACCTTAAACATGATATTTTTATGGCGTGACCAACATTGCAATATTTAGAATGCTATATCTCAATTTTTTTTAAATGTAATATCCTGTATATTATTTTTTTAGATGCAGAATGAAAAATTGAATATTTTTTGTAAATATAAAAAATATTCAATTTTTTGTTTTTGTTCCTAAATTATTCAAATTTAGGAACACTTTAAATAAGTGTTCCTAAATTTTTAACGGTTTAGCAGTTATTCGCGTTATTGTATTTTTAATTCTGCATCTAAAAAAAATAATATACAGGGTGTTGCATTTAAAAAAAAAATGAGATATAGCATTCTAAATATGTTGGCCACGGAATAAAAAATGTCCAGTATAAGGTAATGTAATTTTTTTTATCACGGATTTATTCTGTTATCATTGGGGTTAAAGAAAATATAGGTAAGTGTTAATATAAACGTTTTAGTAAATAAGATATAGCATGGAGACACAGATTCCTTTAAACAAAAATAGTGTACTGTAGCAGAATTTTATGCTGACCCAAGTTGCGATTAAAAAAAATACTTCATCATTACTTTTTTTGGGATACCGTATATACAAAATAATTTTAGGATATGTACCTTTATAAATTATGCAACGTTTATATTAAACTTTGTTTCATATCTTTATCAACATGATACGGGACCTCCTCGCTATGGGACCTATATTATAATATAGGACTAACGAACCACCCGGTATAAACGGGCCACTCCGCAGTATAACGAGCCACCCAATATAAAAAATGTATATGGATATTTTTAGGAATATGTAGTAAGGTTACCTTGTATAATATTTTATCTAGAAATATAGACCTTATTATAATATTAATTGGTATATAAAATATTTATGCTTTTTATCTTCAAAGATAAATAATAACCACAATTTTCGGTAATCAATAAAAAAATATTTTATTGATAAAATTATAAATAATTCGATCAAAGAACAAAGGAGATACATATAAGAATAGAATATAAATACTAATACACTTTAAATACATATATTAATATTGATGCTATGAATGAAAATCTGGGCATGTCTTTTTTTAATTGAAATAAATACAGATTAACATTCTTACGTAGTGTATTATTAAACATTACTTTAGTGGATTTACTTATTTCTAAACTCGAAAGATGTTATTTAAAATAATTAAATGTAATGATAATATAGCCTAATGTAAAACCAAAAACTAATGCGCATTTTACTCCTATTGCTTAAATCAAAACATTCTTAAGATAAAAGTAATACCTATTAACATAAAAATTCTTAAAAGAAAACAATTAGAATTTGATCAAATCTTAATATGTATATTTGCTGATATTAATCCTATTGCTAAGGCTTTTATCTGATAATAGTTAAGTATAATTTTATAAAAGTTTGAATGACATGTTCTATAGATTTCTTTTTTACAAATTGTTTGAAAAACTTTAATTTCTATACTACAGAATGTTCTGCAATCTCAATCAATGCAATCTGTTCTCTAATAACTTTCCTTTGGAGTAATTCATGCATTACATTTCTATGGCAATAAGTACAGTTCGAAATTGTACACTCAGATGCAAAAAAAAACGCGAGTGTTATATTTTTGTTATTTTTAGCCCTATTTTCATGATTTTTTTTATAAACTTTAGTATTTCACATATTATATAGGGTTAATCGAGGGGTTGTTTTTTATCCTAACTTTAAAACACCCTGTGCAATAATTTCGTGTGTAAATTTTCCTAAAGTATAATTTTACGGTCAGAACCATGTCTCCTGAGCATATTGTTTTTCGGATCAGTCAATACAGGCCTCAATGACAGTATGGACGGACGTATACAGACAGTTATAGCAACCAAGGGAGGCAATACAAAGAATTAGGGTATTTTTTACAACTTTTTTTCTGTTTGTATACTGGATGGAGTATTACAGATGTTTCTTTAATATCGTTAGTTCTGTTATCGTTATTGATGATTATTAAAACCAGGACTGTATCGTTAGTCTTTAACGTTTTTTTTTATTTAGTACCTATAGAGAATCCATAACAGCGTAATATGACGTTACGACAATAGTCACCAAATCCATCTCGTCATATTAAAAAATTATTAAAAATTGCAAATTGACCGTGATCAGTTCATTTTGCTCTTCAAATTTAACTAAAGCATGTATTGACATAAATCACAAAACAAAATGCTGAGGTGTCATGTTTCTGACCATAAAATTATGTTTTAGCAAAATTTACACCCGAAATTATTGCACAGGGTGTTTTAAAGTTAGGGTAAAAAAACAACCCCCCTATTAACCCTGTATAATATTCCAAATACTAAAGTTTATAAAAAGCTTTGCTTAAAAAATCATGAAAATAGGGCTAAAAATAACAAAATTATAACACTTTAAATTTGACCAAAATTTGTCCGTTGTGTTTTGTTGCATCTGAGTGTATACAGGGTTGTCCACCACATACGACGCGTAGTATTGTAGCTAAACTATTTAATTTTTGCAAATTGTAAGTTTTGGGTTCGTTGAAGGACTATTAGAGCTACAATTTAAAAATATTTTTACAAGATACAGAGTGTACCAAATAAATAAAAAATATCAAAGTTGTACTTTTTTAAATGGAACACCCTGTATATTATTACATTTTTAGTTTCTACGATTAAAATAAAGGTAAATTTGATTAAGGTTTGCCGCTTTTAATCTTACGGTTTTTGAAATATTCAGGTTTTTGTCAAAATACAGTAATAATTATAATGCTTTATTTTTCTAGGCGTATTTAAGTTTTTAAAACCAAATATTGTATTGAAATATTTCTATACACTAAATTTTGTGTTGCAATAATAAAAATTATACTATCTTATACGGAGCGTCTAAAAATTTATTTTAAATAATAACTAGTTTTAAACGGCAATAACTTCTTTAATTTAAATGGAACACCCTGTATATTTTATGAGAATCAGATGCACAATTTAATTGTCTATCAAATTATATTATATCATTTTTTACCTATATCTTCAGGTTTTCGTAGAAAATGCATTTTCTTATAATTTAGTCGTCAATTATCAATATACCCATGGAATATTGACATTTTAGATTATTTTTAAAGATGTAACAAATTTTTAAAGGGTACAGATACCAATATTGTCGATATAGTTCGTTTATGTCATTAAAAAATAAAAAAAAATGTTTAAATATTTGTAGAAAGGACCAATTAATATGATTCCAGTATTCAAACTACATTAATGGACTGCTTGCATTGATTAATAATAATTGCAATGTATATTAGACAGTAAGGTAAAAAGTAACACCTTAAAAATTTTATTTCATTTTTTGACAAATGCTTATTTATAACAACAGAGATGTTCATTTTCATAACTTATTATTATATTGATTTCTGATTCCAAATCCCCATTTATTTAGAATAATTTATTAACTAACACAATTAAATATGTAATTAATTAACATTTGGCCGGAAATACTGGTGGTATATTTAATTAATGGTAGGTATAGTCTTTTATAAAGATTTAAATAGTTTTTTTTTGTATACAAATAGGCTGGTAATATTATCATTTTTAGCACCTGTACATTTTGTACATTTGTTGTTTTAAAAATCATCTAAAATGTTAATATTCCATGGGTATAATATAAAGTAGTATAATGAAGTTTAAATTATTAGAAAACGCATTTTCTACGAAAACTTGAAGAGATAGGTAAAAAATGGTATAATACAATTTGATGGACAATTAAATTGTGCATCTGATTCTCCTAAAATATACAGGGTGTTCCATTTAAATTAAACAAGTTATTGCCGTTTAAAGCTAGAAATTATTTAAAATAAATTTTTAGACACTCTGTATGAAGTAGTATTACTTTTATTATTGCAACACAATAACTAATCAATACTTAAACTTCAGTAAATATTTAGTATTAAAAGCTTTGATACCCTTGGAGAAATGAAGCCTTGAAATTTTTACTGCAATTTCACAAAATTGAAAATATTTCAAAAACGGTAAGGTTTAAGGGTGATAAACCTTAATCAAATTTACTTTTATTTTAATCGTAGAAACTAAAAATGTAATAATATACAGGGTGTTCCATTTAAAAAAATACAACTTTGATTTTTTTATTGATTTGGGACACTCTGTATGTTGTAAAAATATTTTTAAATTGTAGTTCTAATAGTCCTTCAACCAACCCAAAACTTACAATTTGTAAAAATCTAGTTGTTTAGCTACAATACTCCGTGTCGTATGTGGTGAACAACCCTGTATATGTTAGGAGTGAATAATTTACAGTCAGTGACCAACTATTGGTTAGAATCTTCATCGTTAACTTTTAAGACGCTTTCAATTGCAGCTACGGTACAGGCCGCCAAATACCTTAATTCTTCATTTGAGTTACCTATGTTTATGTTGGGACTCAGTAATTCAACTAGCCAAAGTCTGATTTCAAATATCTCATTCATGAAATCATTTAAGAGCATAAAATGAGGTATCACCGTAACAACCGTTGCTATAAGTTGTATTATAGCTATCTTCACTTTTACGTCTTTATGGTATTTCATATACCATGAAAAATGTAAACTCTCTTTTGCCATTCGATGTATTATGTTACAATTTTGGGAACTCCACAAAACTACCGATAAAGTTTCAATGAAATTAATTAAGAGTATATAATCTTCGTTATCTTTGATAATTTGTTGTGACAAAAGTTTGTTTTGATTATATCCGTAAAGTAAGGGGAAGAAAAATGTACCCGCTACGTCGGAAAATTTGTTTTTTTGTTCAATTCTTACAGACTTATGTGTACTGAAGTATCGAGTTTTGCTTTCTAGTCTTTTTGCCACCACTTCTGAAGCAATACTTTTCGTTTTTATCTTCGTTGTATTTCGCAAATCCTCATTAGTTTCTTGCTTAATCTCTGATAGACGTACAGCCGCTTTACGTATTATATTTAACATTAAAATTCTATGAACCAACGAATATTTTCCAATATCCGAATGAAATTCCCTGCATAGAAAATTAACGTATATAGAAGGATAAATACAAACAATTGCTAGACAGCTACGAAAAACCAAGTCGTCAAAATTTTCCATATAATATTTACATTCCAAACTTATAAGGATTTCCAATATTTCTAATCCTATTTCCGGATCGTCATTTGGCAACTGTTCAGTAATTAATTGCTCTGCCGCTTCTAAACTTACGATAAAAGTATCCGGATCCTCTAATTCAATTAAATTATCTCGAAGGTCTCTTAAATAGGCTGGTGGAGGTTTAGGTGGCAATTTTATGTCGTCAGACATATCATCCGGTTCGAAATCGTCGTCTGAATCATCTGCTACACCATCAGCTATGATATTTATATTGCTTTGTTTAATATTGGAACAAGTTGTTAAAACAACATCATTTTTTTGGTTTTCGTTTTTACTTTTTCCTCTAAATTGCCTGTCTGGTGGAATATATTCTTCACGAGACTTAAATCCGTTATTTAGTATTGTTAAAATCTGTTGAATATCGATATTGACGATGTTTTTTTGTTGACGTGAATTAGAAAAATCTAAATTAATAAAATTCTGGAGTATTTGAATGGCTTCTTGGCAGTCTGAACTTAATATTTTATAGTCAAATTTTAATTCGTTTGATTCGCTTGAATCTGTTTCCTGTTTCTTTAGGAAAGAATTAATAATGTATTCACCTGTTTTCATTCCAGAATATCTAATAACCGGTACTGTACTTTCTAAATGTGTAGGTAGTCCTTGATATACTATTTGTTTAATTTGTTCCTGATATTGATCACTTAATTCAGTTTTGTTTAACGAGTTTACAAGGCATACAATATATTTTGATATAAGCATATGATGTTCAACACTAATATGCTTAATAGAAGATTTATCGGCCCATATTTTTGTCAAATTTAATAGTAATGTCTTCGAATCCTCTTGTGATACACTATGAAGATAACTTATTAAATTTGTCACCAAATTCTCATGGTTTCTTTCTACAAATGTCAATAATGGTATTTTTGTACATAATGTATATTTCCAATCACTGTTTATATTAATAAGATCTTTTCCCAATATTTCACCCATACTATAGATTTTAGGATCCATTCTGATAAAAACTAATTTTGCAATCACTTCTACACTAGCTTTTTCTAAGTACCCAAATATTTTATGAAAAACACTTCTGTACAAATGTTGTTTTTCAGATGGTTTGCACGTTAGAGCTGCTACAATGTCTACAAAGTAATTTAACCCATCACAATTTGCTCTTTCACTAAAATTAATACATATTTTACTCAAAACATAAGCTAACTTTTCTAAATTCGCATTTCTTAACATATCGGAGTCATGTAAAGTAACTAATACAATAAATTCGACAGCTTTTAAAAAATTATATAGAAGCCAATATGAATAATGATTATTTTTAAAAAACGTCGGTGAGTTAACCTCACAAATATTTGCGATACGACTAGGTAAAGAGATTAACAAATTTACTGTTTTAGACCAAGACTCATTAAATTCGTCAATATTATAACTATTCGTGACTAATGTAACAAATAGATTTTCAGATTTTAATAAAGTTTCTAGACAGCCTACAATATTGACAGAACTTGATTTATTTTTTATTTCTTGTATGAATATTTTCAGACTTATTTCAAAAATATCGGGATCTTCTAAAGTTAATATTTTGGCCATACTTTCATACATAATACCGTTTTGAAAAGGAAATGTATAATCAAATAAGCGTATAAGTTCATTTAACAAAAGAGAGTAATAATTTTCTGCGTAACTTTTAAACGAAATGTTATCTAACAGCGTGAGTTTCTGAACGTTATAACAGGCAGGTATGTGTACAAGAATATCGTCTAACAATTTTAAAATGTCAGAGATATTTGACTGTGATGTTATTTTATCAATTTTTCTCAAACTTTCCACAGCATATATCGTTAACTCTTCTAGTTCTGTTTGATTTCCCTTTCTCTTCTGTTTTTCATATTGAGATTGTGCCGTGTTTGTTTTGCTTTTATCTGCAAGGGGAAATTCTCATAAATTTCCCGTCTATTCTCGAATTAAGCATTTGCACAAATATTTTTTATTTAGATAAAAAAATAACATTGATTCAAAATGTTTTACTTACCGTCAAGATTATCTAAGAGTCCCGCATTATGTGACAGACCATAGTTGATATTGTTATTGTTGCCATTTCCTACTAACAAGTTAGGCGTAGTACTTAAACCAAAATTACTCAGATCGCTCAACAAATCGTTTTCATTTTTATTTCCGGGAATTGGTTGTTGAACTGTAGAAGTACCGAAAGTTTGGCTTGGTTTACCTAAATCTTCATATAAACTGCCTACCCCACCAAAAGGTTCGTTATGAAGAGGATTTTGTAAAGGATTGGATGGTTGTACTTGAGCAATAGGTTGATTCACTAACAAGTTTTGATTGGATACTCCGAGGCTCGACGGTATAATACTTGGTAAGACGGTGGGATTATTCGGTGATGAAAGTAAGCTAGGAGGAGCCGTACTGTAAAAAATGAAAAGTAATGTATGAGTACAGCAACTAAAAAATACCGTATCAACCATAGACTTAAAATAAAATATAGACTGAGAATCTCATTCATAAATAGCTGGAAAATGCGGACGGACAATGTCTTGTTATTATTTTAAGCTCTAACGAGTGCGACACGACATTGTCTTTTGTTCCTCAGTACACCTGAACTCTCCGTACCATAGCCGGGTAATTTTTTTTATTTTAATGAGGCTTTAATTCAATTAAAAATATATCGTATTTAACTTTTTTATATTTTATTAAGATTTAGGAGAGGCTTTTTTAAATAAAACTCTAGAAAAAAACGTCCAAAAACGATAAAAATAATAAAATACATGTTATAGAAAAAAAAATTATAATCGAAATTACGTATTTAATTTTTGAAATTAATAATAAATTATTAATTTTAATCAAACATTATCTAAAAATAAAAACAGGATCTATTCTATAGATATAATAGAATCGGCGACATGGAAAGAGAAAAAACTTCATGATTATTGTAATTTTTTTTTCTGATAAGTGATGTCTTTTTATGTAAATTAGAGAAAATAGAAATCTGTTCCATTAAAGCAAGCTTTTAGGAAGTGTAATAATTTGTAAATGAAGACTGCATTTATTTAACTCGCTACTGTCTTTATTATACCGGCTGCGTCCCAAAAGTGACTCACCCCCATATTTTTTTTATTTTTTCAAGTAAAAAAAGAAGATTTGGTATGTTAGTACATGACATAAATTAGGATTGATTGACACATTCAATTGTTTTTGGTCACTTCCTGTTTCACCGGAAATGAATATAACTTCTGATTTTTAAATGGCACCCTAGGTATATCTCTACTTTATTCGATAGAAAATGACACTCTGAATAGAATGACATATCATATGTCAAGTTTTGACAATTTCTTATTTAATTGAAATTGTAACAAGCGGTTCATAACGACAATTGGACTCGAAATACCAAGTATCAATATATTCATAAAAAAATGCTTTTTCGAAATATGCTAATGAGTCACCATTGTTCCATTTGAAAAAATTGACATATGATTAAAAATACGATTTGTATATCTTTTAACCGGCCTAGACAAGACACGAAAAACATTAGATGATCAAAACTATTTTTCCAAGGCTCATTGATTAAAACTTAGTGTTTTTAACACCGCCATGGCACCCTGGATTGACATTTAAAATACGATTTGTTTTTAACCGACGATGCCAAAAGTTGACATATATGTCATTCTATTAATAATAATTAAAAATAATTAATTTATGTCATATACTAACATACAAATCTGTTTTTTTATCTGAAAAAATAAAAGTCATAGGGGTGAGCCACTTTTGAGACGCACCCGGTATATTAAAAAATAATGTTTCATAATGTAATATCATTTTAGAATTCTTGTATGTTATTTTAGATTCTGAAGATAGTTTTAGAATAAACCGGAATATATTTTTAATAAAAACATGATTAATTTTTTAACCGATGCCTAATATAATTTATCTTGTATAATAAAAGGGTTATAATTATGATTTTGTTACAAAAACTTTTATATAAATAATTATGTAATAGGAAAAATTCAGATTTTACATTTTACTAAAATATTATATAAATAAGCGCCTTTCTACAACAACACCACTGACTCCCAATTGGTAAATTGAAAGTTGCCTACCGGTCGAAAGTCGTTTCAAGACTCAAATGGATTATTTAAGTCAAATTTCTTGCAAATTTGGCACTGGCGAACCATATTTTATAGTTCTTGAATACAAAAAGTAAATAAAATAAACATTTAAAGACTACAAACTAAGAAAATGCAATAATACAACCAGAGAGAAGTAGCGGCAACAATGCTTTACTACACACATGCGACGCGTACTACAAGTTAATAGAAGAATGAACAGGCGACCTCGCCTCTAATAGGTGTTGCCATATTGTAAAGGATTTATCCTTTTTACATAGTATTCGACTTATAATTAAGTAGTATAAGGACTATTTAATACATCTATGGAATATTAAAACCTACTTTATTAAAATGCTGTATTAATATCTCAATATATGTGTATAATGAGTAAAAAAATATTGATAATATTAAAGACGTGACAACATAGGCTGGACGAGGAAGGTTTGTACGGCTGCGGTCGAGTGTACTCAGAAGTAAACATGTGTACAAAAATGACTGTTTGACCGCGTTCAAATGTAAATAGTGTAGTCTGTATTTTATTTTAAGTCTATGGTATCAACATATCCACAGAATTCGTTTAGTTATAGAATAGTTACATTAAATCAAAAATATATAAAACAACGAGTCGGCAAATATAACAAGAATGACTAATAATAGTTATTTATACAAGGTGTTTCAAAAAAAATGTGCCACCTCTCGTGGGGACGTTCTTATGTAAAAATAAGATTTATTTCTTATATCAACATAGGTCCGATTCTGCTTTGTTTTATTGTTATAATTATCTTACAAGTACTTTTCAGCGATTCAAATAAAAATTTGGGGGTAAAAGTTACTTTACCGGATGCGTCTCGAAAGTGGCTCACCCCTATAACTTTTTTATTTGTTCAGTTAAAAAAAACGAGATTTGGTATGTTCGTGTATAACATAAATTAGGATCCATTGACAAATTCAATTGTTTCTGGTCACTTCCTGTTTCACCGGAAATGAATACAAGTTTTGATTTTTAAATGGCACCCTCGGTATTTTTCTTTTACTTTATTTGATAGAAAATAACACTCTGATTAGAATGGCATATCATATGTCAACTTTTGATACTTTCGCTTTAATAAAATAGTATTTTAAATTTCAATCTAGAGTGCCATGGCTGTGCTAAAAACACTAATTTTTAATCAAGGAGCCTTGGAAAAATAGTTTTGATCGTCTAATGTTTTTCGTGTCTTGTCCTGATGGCCAATTAAAAGATGTATTTTTAATCATATTTCAACTTCTTCAAATGGAACGAGTGTGGCTCATTAGCATATTTGGAAAAAGCAATTTCTTACGAATAATTTGGTACTACACACTTGGTATTTCGAGGCAAGTTGTCGTTATGAACCTCATGTTACAATTTCAAATAAACCATATGCAAAAATGTCAAAAGTTGACATATGAAATATCATTCTAATCAGAGTGTCATTTTCTATCAAATAAAGTAGAAATATACCGAAGGTACCATTTAAAAATCAAAAGCTGTAGTAATTTCCGGTGACACAGGAAGCGTGACCAAAAATAATTGAGTGCGTCAATCAATCTTATTTTATGTTATATGCTAACATACCAAATTTGTTTTTTTATCTGAAAAAAAAAAGAAGTTATAGGGGTGAGCCACTTTTGAAACGCACCCGGTATACTCAAACCCCTGTTACTACGAAACAAAGCAGAATTGGACCTATGTTAATTAGGGTAAGCCAAAAAACGAACCTATGGAATTTATGGGTTAAAATGAACCTAATAACCGAGAAAAAATATCCCCGGAAGGCGGGATTTTTAGCTAAATAACACGTAAAAAAAATCTTTTTCCATTTAAAGTACCATAACTTTGAAACGGTTTACGATAAAAAAAAAACATTGCGGATTCTTGTATAGCATAAAATTTTCTAAAAAATCTATCTGAGATTAACCTAGTTTCTTTTTACTATATATGAAAATTTTTAATCAATAAACACTAAAACTGATTGATTTTTGATTTTTTTTCACTTGTCAAAGCTTTCAAATATACGAATTATTGAACTGAAAAAATTACTCTCAGATAGGTTTTTAGTAAATTTTATGTTCTACAAGAATCTGCGATGTAAAATTTGTTATCGTAAACCTTTTCAAAGTTATGGTATTTTTAATGGAAAAAGATTTTTTTACGTACGAGTTATTTAAATAGAAAATTTTGAATGTTTGGTTTGGTTTGGGTGTAGGTGCCTTTTAAAAGTGAGCTAAAAATCCTGCTTTCCGGGGATTTTTTTTCTCGGTTATTAGGTTCATTTTAACCCATAAATTCCATAGGTTAGTTTTTTTGGCTCACCCTAATGTTGATACAAAAAAATTGGCGCCGGGAGGCACGTATAGCCGCCCATACTAAAATATGCTAATATCTCGAAAACTGCCACTTTGACTGATTTTGATGTTATTACAAATTTTGTTGCAAATATTATTCCTAATCTTAATTTGAAAACCGCGTTTCGCTAGCTACTGTAATTTTGGAGTTACGATTTTTAAATTTTAACCCCTCCCATACCCCTTACCAACCCCCACCCCACCCCCACCAAAAACTAATGGCCAGATTCTCGGGTGCCACAGTATTTTTGTGCCAAATTTGGTTAAAATCGGTTCAGCGGTTTTTGAGTTATCGTGTTACAGACGGCAGACAAACAGACAGACAGACACCATGAAAATATTTTGTATTTAGGTCATTTATGACCCAAATAACTCATTTTGAGTGAAATTAAAAAAACTTTTTTTTTGCCGATCTGAATAGCCTACCATACCTATTGGTATGGTCAACCAATGGCCAAACCAAACAAAACCATACCTATTGGTATGGTCGGCTAAAAATAAATCTTATTTTTACGTGAGTAATCTCCCCACAAGAGCTAGCACATCAGAAAGATCGCTATCGACAATTTCCCTAACAAAAAAAACTTTAAAAAAATCGGAAAATACACATGAATATATCATACGATCCAAAAAACAATAGCGTAAAAACGGTTGGGGAATGACAATCGATGATAATTTTGGCGAGGTCAAGCCCTAGACATCATTACTTGGCCCGTACTGTTCTTTATTTTTTAATTGCGCTTACTGCCAGTTGAACTAAGAAGATTGTAATTTATTTTATATTGAGTAAAAATGATCGCATTAAAAACATAGAATGTACAAAAATGCCAAGTCTCGCAACACAGTTCCTTCGCCTACAAAAAGTTGTGAGATCTCATGTAAAAACAAGTCAGTTTATTTTATTTAATCTCTCTTTAAGCACCTATTCAACAATTTTGTTATAAATTGTTAGTATCAATATTAGTCATCTTTGTTTCTGTAATAATTATTATAATGATTTGGCAATTGCACGATATGATATTCTATAGTAATTAAAAAACTTTATTCTTAAGTGCACCGTTTAGATTTACTTAGTAATCGAAATAGATTATTCTTTTTTATAATTATGGTGCCGGGCATGCGAGTGAGTCACTTTTGTTTGACAAAAATGACTCACGTGTTCAAGTTTGACTAGAAAAAAATCATAATTCTTGCATTATTGTTTAAGATATGTATTTAATATTTTACAATCAGAATATTAACGAAAGTAAAATAAAAAAAAATATGCCCCGCGGCAGCCTCGAACTCGGGTCTCCCGATGTACTAGCGGTAAATACTTTCGCGCCGCGCTATCGAGCCTTGCTCGATATATATTCAAGCCCAGTATTTAACATATTAATAGGGACTTCATTACAAGTTAAAGTCTGACTAGATAAAAATCATAATCCTTGAATTATTGTTGGTACATTGATAAAGAAATTTTAAAACATTTTCCGATGCACGTCATCAATCACATCGAAATTGACACTAAAGCTTATAAACCTGAGTAAATGAAATTTTAGCAAAAATGTTTAAATTTGTTGACTAAAGTAAAATACCAAGCAGCTCTTCATTATACTTTATAGAGCAAATGATTGTAACAGATATTTTATTTAGATTAAAGCTGCAAAAATTAGTTTAGACCGATTTTTATTATCGCCTTGTTGGTCACATTGCGCCATGTTCAGCAATGTTGTCGTGTATTATTTGACAGTTTTCCTAGTGTCAGTCATTATTTTGTATAATATCGTGTTGTTGAATTTTTGGGAGTAATTCTCGTTTTTTGCCGTTTTTCATATTTTTTTTTCTTAAATTGTACTTCTAAGCACAAAAAGTTCTTTTAAGAACTAAATTTTCAAGATTTTTTACTGCATTTTTTGAAATTGTGGATTGAAAATATGCCGAAGCCTTTAAACAGTCGAAGCAAAGCGCTTGTAGCTTCCCTGATAAAATATTTTGAGCGCGAACGTGACAATAAAGGTCCTTTATTACACTTGAATGCAGTTAGAGAAGTAAGATTGATTGGTAAGCACATTATACCACTTTCAAGTTATTTCTACTTATTTCAATTTGTAGCGGGTAGCTGCTGCCAAAAAAAAGTATATATAAAAATTATATACTAAATATATTGTTTGTCACTTTTAAATTAAGATTCATCTCATAAATCCATCACAATCTGGCAAATCTGGAAAATACTTTATTTCATTCAGGGTGATAAAATAAAGCACAAAGAACTTGAAATTGATGGATCAATTATCTAATATTTTGAGAGAAATTTTTATTTTTTTAAAGAACTGTGGGCAAACAGGCAGACGAGCCATTTGATGTAAGTGGACCCTTTGCCTATTCTATTATATCACTGTGTCTCACTCACTAAAAGATGATGCTTAAGATTTAATTTTTGGGCCACTATGGTCTTTATATTTCTATAATAAAATAAAACCCTGCGAAGTTTCAGTAAACTGTAAATTAATTTAATTTTAAGTACTTGGTATGGTAGAGTTTTGAATAAGGAAGGAAGGTAGCATAATATAAATTGCGTTAAAGTATGAATTGGTGAAAAAACGTTTATTCGAAAATATTTGCAAGATAATTCACAACTACACAATACACGAATGATACCACAAATGAATGAGTTCACATAGTAAAGATTTATTAAAGCAAGCCATAAACTTTTTTAGATTTACTTTTCGCGCTTTCTTCATTGCGGAATCGTTGATAACCTTTTCATATGACAGGCACCGTCCTATGTCGCATGAAATCGACAAAATCGCTAGGCCGGTTAATTTTTCTTTCTTGACCGATCGTTGAGCGCAAGTAAGTTTTTATTAATTTGAGATTACTGAATGATCTTTCGCAGGAAGCTACAGTCACTGACATTGTTAAAAAAATCTTTATAGCGACTACTACATTGGGAAACATCTCTTTTAAATCTAGTTCGACTATAGCTTTAAGAAGATCCAGACTTGAACTACGGTCACATTTATCAAATAATATAGTCGTTTCAACTTGACTCTTTAAAGTGTCTAATTCAGCCCAAAATTCAGTAGCATTAATATCTGGTGAATATTTGATACCCAAATCAGTGGCATGTTTTTTTTTAGTTCTTCAGCTGGTTAATTAGCAATCTTATCAGAAGCAAACCGAAAAAATAAGAGTCCTGCCTGATCTGGCCATTCTTGCGCCCCCCAAACGCCCTATGGCTGGGCACCGATGGCACCGCCCTATTTACGGCTCTGCAAACAATGAGGGATAATTATTAGATATTTTGGTAACCTAGCCAGTCTTCAAGTGTAGTGAAAATTAATATTCTTGCTTTATCCACAACGAAGTTACAGGGTGGTCAAAAGTGCAGCTAATACCTTCGACGGGGGCACTGCCGTGCCCCCAGATAGAAATAATACCATGTGATCTAACCTAAGAGATTTTTGAATAGTGTACCTAGTTTCAAATTCTAGAAAAAAAATTTTCGGAAATAAATTTGTGCGTCTGAAAACGTTATATCCTTTTCTTAATCTTTCTATATTAGTGTTAATTTTTGACAAGTTTTATGTCAATTTTTAGTAAACGACGTCTAGAGATTAACCTTGCCAAAATTATTATCGATTGCCATTCCCCAGCCGTCTTTGACGCCGTTTTTTTTTCGATCATATGGTATTAAACATAGATTTCACGGTGTCAATATATTTACAAACGGTAATAATGCGATAAATTCTGTGCGGTGTGAATAATAAAGTTGTTAAAGTTAATCAAACCTGTTGGACGTCGAAAATGCAGAACCAAAATCGGCAAAACCTTCGTCATTTGCAGCGTTTGACAAAGGCGTAGCAGTATTATGTTTAAAGGCGGCTTCGAATTCGCCAAACTCGTTAGTTGAATTAGCACCAGCTTTTTCTTCTGCCCGAGGATCAAAATCGTCAAGTAAATCTAAGCCACCTCCACTTGGGGGACGCGGAAGGGGACTTTGTGTCGCATCTCTGCCAAAATTAGCTGCCGCCCCTAGATCAACCTGAAAATTGGAAAATAAAAAAGATTGTGTGTAAAGGTGCCCGGTGGCGTAGAGGCTCTCGTCTACCAATCTCAAGGTAGTGGATTCGAATCCCACACCCGGCATTGCATCAGCCGACTATTTTTATTAAAAATAAAAATAGTTGGGGTACCTCGGTCGACTCAACCTTAAATGAGTACTTGGGATTCACAATTCCGAGGTAATAATAGGCGGTTGAAGCGTAGTGCTAGCCACATTACCTTCCTTGTATACCGAACGGCTCTAGTATGCCAAGCTGTACCTTGCTACTCCCAAGGCGTTAAACGCTATATACGGGAGCTATTATTATATTATTTTATAAAAAGATTGTAAGTCCATGTTAAATTTTAAAACTACAAAATAAAAATTGCTTTCCAAATAGCTTGTCTCTTTTTTGTAACTACATATTTATATATTATATTCACTTTTTTTTAAAAAATGAACACGAGTTTTAAATCATAACGCAATAATTGTCAAAAATTGGTAAAGTACTGTTTGAACAGAACTGAAGTGGTATTTTTATTTAAAAAAGGCGTCCATTATTCCCAAAGAGACCTGGTTTATAAATCCAAAAGAATACACATCATTTATGATTACCGACATTTCTGATTCCGTCTATCAATAATCAAAATATCTTATAATGATAATTAAGAGTTAATATACCTTTTTGATAGGCTTCTGTGTTCTCTTCGGGGAATCTGTTCTGCCAGAATTCAGACTCAAACTAGCAATTCTTTTTTCTGATTGAATTGTATTTGAACTCTGAAAGTTTTCCGATTTACCATCATCCTTATATTTGATGGTATTACTTGTCTTGCCTGTAAATAAAAAAAACTATATTTCCAATAAATATATCTTTAACAGCTTGCTTGGCTTTGTTAGAAAGAGGCACAAAGTAGGCTGGTGCATTTCTTCTATGCTGTATTACCAGTTTTTGTACCAAAGATACAAAACCACCCAAGTAGGCATTTCAAATAGGACGACAGTTGGTTAGAACCATTAATACATCAACAATAATTAGTAATTTTACTCCTAGCTGTAATACATCACATAATATTCCAAATTATATCGGCTTTGCCAATGTAATTTTTCTAAATTAGGTATCCAAAAATCTAAATAAAATTAAACAATTTGAGGAGAAAAAATTGTACCGATTCCCCAGAAATTCCCCACATGACACACATCGACATCGCGTCCAAAACAAACCTGTGAAGACAAGTACGTGCGAACATAGTAAAGCGATCTGCTCGAGCGGTTAGATCGAGCGGCGAGATCGATTCAAATAATTTTGTTTTCGTCGCTGTGTCGCGCTGCAGAAAATGATAGATTCTCAAAAATTAATAGATTTAGTATTTGTAAGAGAGATTTTATGGGATCAGAAAGATAGTAATCACCATAACCGGTACATTTTAGATAAGTTATAAGATGAAGTGGCAACAAATTTTCGTAAAGGTTATAAAACTTGCCATACTTTCTCGGGTTTTTGAAAACTTCATCTAACCAAATGTTTGCGACACTACTACTGCCCAGAATTTTAGCCACTGTTAACATTTTAAATTATCAATAAGCAAATGAAAACAATAAAATTCCACACAAATAACTCGCTATTCCTCGCCGCTCTACTATGTTTCTGCACCTCGAGGCTTGCTCGACGCGGTATCGCTCTGCTTGCTCGCCGCTATCCTCGTCGCTCCACTATGTTCTTAGCCTTAGTCAGAGAGTTCTGATTTCTGCCCTACCGAGCGCTGCTCTCATAAGTTCAAAAATCGGTTGAAATTTTGAAATAGCCTACATACTTATGTACTTACCTATTCTTCCAGAAGTTTCTTCGTCACTGTCTATATTGTCACGATCGTCCTCCTCTTCACGAGATTTATCCCGATATCTATTAGTTGATGGGTCGTCCCATTCCTGATCAGCAAACTCGTTTCGTGTGTAAGGTCGTTCGTCCCATTTCTCTGATCCTAAATTTTAAATAAATTTAATTATTAATACGTACATATGATTCAGCCATTTGCTAAAATTAGCGTTACACTTTTATGCAGATCAGATTATACAATAAAGACGGTTATTATTATTTTATAACTGTCAGTTTAATTTATAAAATTTAATTGTTAGCTGCTCCATCAACCTAAATTATTTTCAGACTTAAGCTTGATTTTCATGTTCATGTATCCATTATCCGAGGATACGATAATACGATATTAATTTTATTGGTTGAATTAATGACTTCGTTTGGTTAGAAAATTTACCAATCAAAGCGGACCGTCGGTAGACGTTGCGTTCACTACTGCGCATCATATTTGTATTCAACATCTGTTCACTACAGCGCATCACAAATTTACCCTGTATTTCAGGAACTAAGGAGGCTAGGACAAACATATGTGTATCAAATTTAGTTTCATAAAAAAATAGCAAAGTAATGTGAAAATTGCCTCATGGTATCTCTACACAAAAACGAGAAATCCCATAAAACACACCAAAATGGGATACCCTGTACAGATGTGATGCGTAGTAGTAAACCACAGTAGTCTACCGGCAGCCAGACAGCCCGCACTTTAGTCAGGAGAGCACAGAAGAGCATAGCAAAAGATATACTAAAGAACCAGCTTTCTTAAAATTCTCATTTTCCCGACGTTCCTAGCTCTTGTATTATTATATTTTTATTAAGGTTAGATTAAATTTGTCAAAAAAGTGTCAAAACGTCCGTTATCGTACGATCTTCCTCCGTTAACGGGCTGGGGTAAAAAATTTACGGATAAAATGTGGCGCCAAAACGCTATGACCAATAATCACCGTCGGACCATCGTATCAGCGAGTAACGGACGCATGAAAATCAAGCTTTATGGTGTTACCCCTGTTGCCGCTTATTTGAAAAGTAGTAAACCTCTGTTATTATAAATGATGCACCCAGTACATTTTTAACTTTTTGAAAACTATTTTTATATATCATAATTTTCATTAATAGTTTTCAAGAAAAAAATTAAACATGAAAATTATATTGACTAAAATATGATATTGAGTTGGATTCGAAAAATTGAATAGAAAAGTTTTAAGTGAAAAATAGCCTGTATTTTTAAAGTTTCCCGAATTTTAAGCACTTATTCTTTTACGTTAATTAGAGATAATAAAGTAAGATGTACCTCCAAATCTCATTCCCATCATATCTGAACTCATTCCGATGTATTTGTCTTTGTTCTTTTTAGCTTTTTTCCTTTCTTCTCTCAGTCTATCGTCGTCTTGGATAAAATCGATGAGATCTTTAACTTTGTGCCGAATATTAACTCCTTGATCTTTTCCATTGTCGTCTATAAAGGTGTAGTTTTCTAACGACCTCAAATCGTAGATGTGTTCTCTCGATGATGTTACCACCCTTTCAGATCCATTCCGAACCAAGTAGTTCAGCACGAGTAAAGCCTAGAATAGATAAATCTAGGTATTAATTGCGCAGAATACATGTCGTTGTATTTATATCTATCAACAGTCAACAGGTTATAATAATAATCAACTCAGTACACTCCGATTCACGAAAGGTGGCGATTGTATCAGTTAGATTAGGACAACTCTCCAATCCTTGAACAGGTTCTATCCTTAGACCATAGATAAAGGAAATAAATTTAGATTGGAAAGCCCGTCAAAATATTGTTACGGATTCCGTGTGGGTCCACTATTTAAACTCACGATAAAATACTTAACGAATTTATTTGTTTCACTCTGTACACACAACTTAAACTATTTACAACACAACTTATGCAACTACTATTACTCTAACGGTATTTCGCGGTATTTTCAAACTTCAGACTACCTTCAGACTTCCAACTGTCAAAGCGCGGGCCTTATATACCCCCTGGCGATGGTTTCCGGAATTTTCTAAAGAATTCTGTAATTTTCTTTTACTTTCTGTCGAATTCGCCAGGTTCCTCAATGCACGTTGCGGTTATGCAACCAGTAATACACCTTGACCTTAACATTGCCCCCTTCTCAAATTTGATCGTCCCGATCAAGGTTTCCTGTCTGGTATCTCTTCAATCGATCCAGATGAACTACTTTCATCTTACTTCTAGAGCTGCGTTGAATCCGGTACACAACATCATTTATCCTCTTGATGACTGTATAAGGACCTTCCCATGCTGGAGTTAACTTTGGGGACCTTCCTTTCTTGCGCTGTGGGTTATACAACCATACCCTATCGTCCTGTTGAAATCCCGTAGAATTAGCTCTGAGGTTGTAACGAGCTTTCATCCGGTCACTGGCTAGCGTAATCGCACTTCTCACGGCCTTATGAATTCCCAATAACCGTTCCTTCAGTTCATCCGCGTAGTCCTCTACGCTCGTGGTGCTGTCGTCTGGTGATCCGAACACCAAGTCACAAGGCAACCGTAATTCTCGACCAAATAAAATCTTCGATGGTGAAAGTCCGGTGGTGTTGTGAACTGCACTTCTATATGCCATTAGGAATAGTGGTATATGCTGATCCCAATCTCTTTGATGTTCATCCACCATTTTCGAGAGATGTTCTTCAATGGTCTTATTGAATCTCTCGACCATCCCATCAGACTGCGGATGTAAAGCTGTTGTCCTAGTCTTGTGAATACCAAGCAGATCACACATCTTCTGGAACAGTCTTGACTCGAAGTTCCTTCCTTGGTCAGTGTGAAGCTCTAAAGGAATTCCAAATCTACTGAAGACATTATTGACTAATACTTCAGCTACAATCGTTGCTTCTTGGTTTGGAATGGCAAAAACTTCTGGCAATTTACTGAAATAATCCATCGCCACTAAAACGTACTTGTTGCCCTTGTGCGTTTCAGGGAATGGGCCTGCAATGTCAACAGCGATTCTTTCGAATGGCAGTCCAACGTTATATTGTTTCATTTTTCCCCTAGATCGAGTGCTAGGTCCTTGGCTGGCTGCACAAATTTTACATTGTCGACACCATTTCTTGACATCTTCGCAATAATCCACCCAGTAAAAGCGATCTCTCAGCTTGCTCAAGGTCTGGTTTACCCCAAGATGGGCTCCAGTTTTACCACCGTGAATTTCTTTCAATACCTGGGTAACTTTCTTCCTTGGTACCAGTAACTGAGTTGTTACTGTGCTGCCATCCGCACTTTCCCATGTGCGCTTTAACAATCCATTCTCAATAACCAGTGAATTCCACTGAGCCCAGAGAGCTTTGAAAACGAGCCCTCTGTCCGCAATATCCTGCCACGGTGGTCTCTCGCCGTTACCTTCCTTGAGCCGTAGTATTGCCCCGATGTCTGGATCTTCCATTTGGTCTTTCCTCAATTGTGTCGTCGTCCACTTTTCATCGGTTCCAAGCTTAAAACTCCTTATCATAACAGTGCCTTCGCGTTGTTCCGTTTTACAGCAGTGCTTACAATCGATTTGACAGGGTCTTCTGGATAAACCGTCTGCGTTACCATGCATCTTTCCAGCACGATGTTGGATGGTAAAGTGATACTGCTGGAGCTTCTCGAGCCATCGTGCTATTTGACCTTCAGGTTGTTTCATCTCCATAAGCCACTTGAGAGCCGCATGATCTGTCCTAATTAAAAATTCTTGGCCATACAGATATTTATGGAAATGATCAACTGCTTTTACAATTGCTAGCAGCTCCTTCCGGGTAACGGAGTAATTCCTTTCTGGTTTAGATAGAACTCGACTGTAATATTCTATCACTCGTTCTTCGCCATCTTGCACTTGTGATAGCACTGCACCGATGCCGATGTTGCTGGCGTCGGTATCCAGCATATACCTCCCTTGTTGTTGTGGGTAGGCTAAAATAGGACTTGAACATAAAGCCGCCTTGAGTCTTCCAAAGGCTACATCACAATCGGTGTTCCATTCGTAGCCGACTTCATCACCTGTAAGTCTATGTAAGGGTGCAGCTATATTGGCAAATCCCTTGACAAATCTTCTGTAATAGGTGCATAAACCCAGAAAACTTCTAAGTTCATGTTTGTCGCGAGGTTTAGGCCAATCCTTGATTGCAGCGATTTTCTTCTGGTCGGTGTAAATTCCGTCTGCTGAGACTACATGGCCCAAAAATTCCACTTGTCGCTGGAATAAGCTACACTTCTTCGGGTTCAAGTACAGGTGAGCATTCCGTATGCGGCCGAAGTCTTCTAAATTTCGCAAATGCTCCTCAAAAGTTCTTCCCATAACCAATACATCGTCGAGGTAAACCACGCACGTTTTCCAAGTTAATCCTCTTAACACCACCTCCATGAGACGTTCGAAAGTGGCTGGAGCATTGCATAATCCAAACGGCATGACCTTGAATTGGTATAGTCCGTTTCCTGTAGAAAAAGCCGTCTTTTCTTTGTCTTCCTCGTCTAGACCAACTTGCCAGTATCCACTCTTTAAGTCGAGAGTGGAGAACCCGCACGAACCTGCCAGTGTGGTTAACGTGTCGTCTATACGTGGCAGTGGGTAGCTGTCCTTCTTAGTGACGTCATTGAGCTTCCGATAGTCCACGCAGAATCGTGTACTACCATCTTTCTTCGTCACCAAAACAACAGGAGATGACCATGGACTCGATGATTCTTCGATAACTCCATCTTCTAGCATCTTATCTACCATTGTCTCCATTTCTTGTTGTTTGGAAAGGGGCACCCTTCTAGGACGTTGTCGAATCGGCTGAGCATGACCAGTATTAATCCGGTGCTTCACAAAATCCGTTCTTCCGCTGTTGTTCTTCTCAAAAATACTGCCATGCTTTTTAGCAGGAACTGCTTAGCCTTCTGTTTCTCCTCAGATGTTAGGTGATCCCATGGCTGCTCTAGATGTTTTAGTGTTTCTTTGGATGCCATTTGTGTAACAGCTGACGGCACTTCATCACATCGGGTGACACTTCTTACAGGTTCGCAGATGGCTATCTTGTCACCTTTTTGAATCTTGACACAATTCGGGAAAACATTCGCAATTCTGATCGGTATATTCTTGTCAGTGTTCACCAATGACTTTCCTACTAAGTACCTATCTTGTTTGTTGTCGCTACTTTGTACCAGTCCAACACAGCACCCAGCGATTTTCTCCACTTTACCGAATACGATCTTCTCGGTATTACCAGGTATCACCACAGTTTTCGCTGATCTTACATCCATTCTTCCTGGTCCCTCGTCTGGAGATAACATAAACTCTTCATTTCCGATATTCAGGATATTTCTCTGGTGATCGAACGAAAATCCATGTTGACGAATCACATCCATGCCCAAGATGAAGTCATCTTCAATATCCGCCACTAAAACGCTATGCCGGAACTTCAAATTTCCTAACTTCAGTTCGACGATAGCCTCTCCCCGTACAACGGCTATTTCCCCCGTGACTATACGTAAACACACTCTTCTTCTCAGAGGTATCAGCTTCAACCCTTGCACTGAGTTAGCCCTTACCAACGATACCATAGCGCCAGTGTCCACAGTCATTCGAATTCCCTTTCCATTGACTTTCCCGTCGATCACCAAACTGTCAGCGGTTCTTCCTAGACTCCTAATGGAAAAAATCCTGGGGGCTCTGTTCTCCCCAGTCAATACTTGCCCCTTAGTACTGACTGATTTTAGTTTTCCTGGTGCCTACGTTCTCTGGATGGTGAACGGGATCGCATTTGAACGCGGCAATCCCGTTTGATGTGGCCATTCCTGCCACATCTATAGCACCTTATGTCCTGGGATCTTCTCTGGTTCTCTGTCTGGTTATTGTTGACTCCCTTGTTTATTAGTAGCTCACATAGTTTGTCGAATTTTCTACACATCTCCTCCAAACTTCTGTGGGTACTCTCGGCTGTTCCTCTACCGTTACCGATCTTATCTTCGGTCTAGGGATGGCGCTAAAAGCAGTTTCGATTTCCAGCGCCCTGACCAGTGCTTCGCTGCTGGTAGAAAATCGGGATATTTGCAGCGCCCTCTGTAATTCGTTGTCCCTCAGTCCGCTGATAAAGCACTGAGCAGCGAGTTCCTCCCTAAATCCTTCCGGTGCTTCAGGATACGCTAGGTGTACCAGCCGACGTAAGTCTGCTTCAAATTCCTGCAGACTCTCTCCGGACCTCTGCAGGCGTGTCTTGATCTGGGCCTGGTAAAGTTGACGTCGATGTTGGTCGCCATATCTTCTGTCCAGTGCAGCAATCAAAGTTTGGTATTCCTGTTGTTGGGCTGCAGGAATAGTGTGCAACAGTTCTAGGGCAGGGCCACGCAGCGCGATGACAAGTGCTGCTGCTTTCTCTTGGTCAGTCCATCCATTGGCAGCAGCCGCTGCTTCAAACTGGCGGTGGTACATCGTCCAGGTGGTCTATCTATCGTAGTTCGGGGCCTTGAGGTTCGCAGTTCCATGAACGCCAGGTGTCCTTACTTGTACCTTGGTCTTCTGTAGGTCCATCTCTAATTTTTCTATCTTCTGCTGAAGGCGCTCCTCCAGAT